TGCAGGTGTTAAGTTAGTAACACAATTGTTAAGTAAAATCAGGCTTCCCTATTGACTTTGTTGGTTGAAAGGCCACAATAACTCATCACATGACCCTGGGACACTGCAACTGTCATAAATACAAGCCAAGCATCCAAACTTGGATCATGTGACCATGGGAATGCTGCAATAGTCATTAAGAAAGAAAAACAGTCATAAGTCACTTTTTTCAGTGCCGTTCTAACTTTGAACGGTGGCTAAATTAACTGTTGTAAGTTGAGAATTACCTTTAGTTGCAATTAAAGCTTCTAGTTTCAAAAGTTCAAAAATGCTTCTGAAGCGAGGAAAGAATCCAGAACCCACCCCATTCTCACGGTGGTAGAAATGCAACTTTTCATTGGCAGCAAAAAAAATCAAGAGGAGCCTGGTAGCACCTTTTCCAACTAACATTTGCTATTATAGCAATAGCAATAGCACTTAGACTTATATACCTCTTCACAGTGCTCTACAGCCTTCTCTAAACTGTTTACAGAGTCAGCCTATTGCCTCATTTTACCGACCTTGGAAGGATGGAAGGCTGAGTCAACCTTGAGCTGGTGAGAATCGAACTGCCAAACTGCTGGCAGTCAGCAATATTAGCCTGCAATACTGCATTCTAACCACTGCGCCACCAAGACTATTATAAGATGGGAATTTTCATGAGGCGCAGTTCACTTCATCAGACAGAGAGATTAGACTGAGGTAAAATTTAAAAGAGGGGGGGAAGTTATGTAGATGCAGATTACATGTGAGACAGATTAACAATACCTTATCAATTAACAAGCAAGAAAGCAAAATGGCTGTCTGAGGAAGCTTTGCAAATAGCTGAGGAAAGAAGGGAAGCGAAAGGCAAAGGAGAAAGAGAAAGATACACCCAATTGAATACAAAATTCCAGAGAATAGCTAGAAGAGATAAGAATACCTTCTTAAATGAACAGTGCAAAGAAATAGAAGAAAACAACAGAATAGGGAGGACCAGAGATCTCTTCAAGAAAATTGGAGATATGAAGGGAACATTTCATGCAAAGATGGCATGATAAAGGACCAAAATGGCAGAGACCTAACAGAGGCAGAAGAGATTAAGAAGAGATGGCAAAACTACACAGAAGAACTATACAAGAATGAGCTTAACATCCCAGATAACCACAATGAGATGGTCACTGACCTCGAACCAGACATCCTCGAATGTGAAGTGAAATGGGCCTTAGAAAATCTGAGCAACAACAAAGCTAATGGAGGTGACAGTATTCCAGCTGAGCTATTCAAAATCTTAAAAGACGATGCAGTAAAAGTACTACACTCAATTTGCCAGCAAATTTGGAAAACTCAACAGTGGCCACAGGATTGGAAAAGGTCAGTTTACATTCCAATTCCAAAGAAAAAGAAAGGCAATGCCAAAGAATGTTCAAACTATCGCACCATTGCACTCATTTCACCTGCTAGTAAAGTTATGCTTAAAATCCTACAAGCTAGACTCCAGCAGTATGTGGATCGAGAACTACCAGAAGTACAGGCAGGATTTCGAAGAGGCAGAGGAACTAGAGATAAAATTGCCAACATACGCTGGATCATGGAGAAAGCTAGGGAGTTCCAGAAAAACATCTACTTCTGCTTCATTGACTATGCAAAAGCCTTTGATTGTGTGGATCACAACAAATTGTGGCAAGTTCTTAAAGAGATGGGAGTACCAGGCCATCTCATTTGTCTCCTGAGAAACCTATATGCGTATCAAGAAGCAACAGTGAGAACCGAACATGGAACCACTGATTGGTTCAAAATTGGAAAAGGAGTCCGGCAAGGCTGTATACTGTCACCCTGCCTATTTAACTTATATGCAGAGCACATCATGAGAAAGGCAGGGCTAGATGAATCAAAAGTTGGAATTAAGATTGCCGGGAGAAATATCAACAACCTAAGATATGCAGATGATACCACTCTAATGGCAGAAAGTGAAGAGTAACTAAAGAGCCTCTTGATGCGGGTGAAGAAGGAGAGTGCAAAAGTTGGCTTGAAACTCAACATTAAGAAAACCAAAATCATGGCATCCGGCCCTCTTAATTCCTGGCAAATAGATGGGGAAGAAATGGAGGTAGTGACAGATTTTATTTTTCTGGGCTCCAAGATCACTTCAGATGGGGACTGCAGCCAAGAAATTAAAAGACGCTTGCTCCTGGGGAGGAAAGATATGGCAAATCTAGACAGCATTCTAAAAAGCAGAGACATCACCCTGCCAACAAAAGTGCGTATAGTCCAGGCCATGGTTTTCCCAGTTGCAATGTATGGCTGTGAAAGTTGGACCATAAGAAAGGCTGAGCGCCAAAGAATTGAGGCCTTTGAACTATGGTGCTGGAGACGACTCCTGCGAGTCCCTTGGACTGCAAGGCGTTCAAACCGGTCAGTCCTAGAAGAGATCAACCCCGACTGCTCTTTAGAAGGCCAGATCCTGAAGTTGAAACTCAAATACTTTGGCCACCTAAGGAGAAGGAAGGATTCACTGGAGAAGAGCCTAATGCTGGGAAAGATTGAGGGCAATAGAAGAAGGGGACGACAGAGAATGAGATGGCTGGATGGAGTCACTGAAGCAGTAGGTGTGAATTTAAATGGACTCCAGAAGATGGTAGAGGACAGGAAGACCTGGAGGAACATTGTCCATGGGGTCGCGACGGGTCGGACACGACTTCGCAATTAACAACAACAACACATCAATTAACAATTGTTATACATTAAAAACTCATTGTGAAATCTTTTGATGTATGCTAATTCAACAACCTTTTGCTCAGCGATGGAGTTAAAGTCCCATTTTTCCAAAACAGTCACCTGAGATCTGCTGTGGAGTATCCTGAGAGGATGAAGTGCTTTGATATTACTTTGTCCTTGGTTTAAGTTCTGATGTCAAACTTATGTCCATTCATTCTATTGCACAAAGCTTGTCTCATTTGTCCTACATAAAATCCAGTCAGGCATTGTTAGCGTATATCATGTTACCTATTATCATTTTTGTGTACTTGTTGGGGCCTATGATGCATCTGAGTTTGTTGCAGGGTCTGATCCCCACATTAATGACATTGTCTTGTTGTTTCTCATTGTTTGTGAGAATCTACTTCAGGTTGGTTGGCTGTATGCAAATTTAGGCGTGCCACCCAATGCCTTAGAAAGCATGGTGCCATTGTCTAAGATTGGCTGTGGCATATTAATAAAGGATTTGAGTGGTTTACGTTGTGGGATTTTTGTTACAGTGGGCTAACACAGCTCTCCTCCTCCATTGGCTGCAATAGAAATTTCTTTCTTAAAGTAAATAGCAGACTCAGAGAAGAGCATTTTTTATTGGGATCACCCTAGATGAAGAGGAAGGACTATATTCTTCATTGCTGAATACTAAATGAGTGGTTTTACTGTTAGCCATCATCTAACAGAAATGCAGAAATGAGTAAATCTCAGGATTGAATTAAAGTAAAATAATTACCCATCAACACCTTTTGACTTGACTCCTAAGAAGGATGGTTAAAAATGACAAAGGGATGACTTTCATGACCATTTGGCTGACCATTTATGAGTAGCCCAAGGGGGGGGGGTCTAATCTCCAATCACCAGTGTTAGCACTGAACCAGGATGGCAGTTATTCACTTAATTAGCATGGAGTGCAATAAAGGTGTGATCTTGATGTGAAACAACTGATGGCTTTCAAGGGGCGGTATGCAAAATAAAGTTGGAAAGACTCACTAAGCAGCCTATATGCAGTCATACCTGAGAACTATTGAAAAATGCCAAAAAATGTGGATTGCTTCCTTATTCTTTTCTGCCTATCCACCTTCTCTTTGTTTTCAATAGATTATATATAAAAAAAGAAATTATAGACGCAGTTCACATGTACCTGAACTGTGTTCTTGGATTGACCATCAACATCATCATCCTTCCTTCTAAGAAACAATCTTTCCAAAGGGTTAATTAATTCAAAAATAAGAGAATAAGTGCTCTTTAAAATCACCATTGTAATTTCTGGGATTGGGAATTTTATACTGGAAAGTTGATACTTATAGGCCAGTTAGAACGTTGATCTGAGGAGGCTTCTGAAATGATTTTGGTTTGTCTGCATTTCAGGATCTTTCTTACAGATTTGTTGGTGGGAGGGGCCCTTAGCAGAGGGAGGGGGACCCTGGTCAACAGCCTTAAAGGATGCCCAATACCTGTCCTCCTTTCATTCTCTTCAGGAATCAGGTCCTCAATGTACTTGGCGGCAGTCAGGAATGCACTTGAAAGACATCTCAATTAGCATCTTCTGGGCACACTATGGCTTGATAAAAAACACAAGGATGAAGAATGGCTCTAAATTCTAGAAGAAACTTTTCCTAACTGCTTTCCTGATGGACTTTACTTGCACTAGACTTTTGACTGGGGATTATGGGAGTTGAAGTCCAATCCACATGAAGGGCATTAACTTAGGGAAAACTGCTCAGGTCTCCAGACACGGAAATGAAGGGTGGGGGAGAGGCGGAGTTCTTTTTTTTTTTTTTCTTCTTTCTGATTTCTCATGAACACAAAAAACACTGTTATGTCAGCTTTAAGATTCCACTCCGATTTTCTCAGTTTTACTGAAAGTTAGAGACGGGCGAGCCTCGCTTAGTTTGGCGAGAGTTTTCGTTTCGCTTTTCCATGCAGTGTGGTTCCGGTTTTCCATCCATCCATCTCTCTTTCTTCTCGTAACGCGATTAGCAGGTTGCACTATCCTAACTACTGGGATACGGCCCCAGCGCGGATAACAGTATTGTTACTTAAGTAAAGGGAGAGAAATACTAATCTAGTAGACTGGGACTTTTGAAGCTATCACGGCCAAGGCCAGCAGCTCCTTTCCGAGCCCCCTCGGGGGTTTGGGGGTGGGGGTCTTTTTCTATCAACCGAAGCGTTCCGAGGAGCGCTTGAGCTTCGCCTCTCCACCGGCAGATAAAGGGGCGTGGCCTTCCGTTTGCACCTGAAGGGGCGTGGCGGAAGACTTTAGTATCGCCTGCCAGCCAGCCAGCCGGACCGCGGATGATCCGCCAGGACGGGCATGGCCCGTAATTTCTACGGGCGCTGCGCGATCTTCCTGGCGATCGCGCTGGTCCTGGACGTGGCCGGGCTGGCCTTGCTGTTGGCGGGCGGCGTGGGGAGACCTGCTGTGGACGGGCGCTCCTTTAAAGACTTCTTAATGCTGACAGGAGGGCTCCTGCTCTTCCTGTCGCTGCTCTGCTGGCTGTTCTGGTATTCGGGAAACCTGCGCGGGGTGCCGGCGGAAGAACTGCCTCCCGGGATGGCCGCGAGTTCTCCCGAACCCCGCCGCCACCCCAGCTTCCTGCGCTTGGCAGCCAAGCTTTCCGAGCGCCTCTCCCAGCGTCGCCGGCCGGCGCTTGCGCCCTCCTTGTTCTCTGCCCGTGGCGCCCCAGCGAAGACCCCGAAATCTGCAGCCTCGCTTCGTCCCGACGGGCCCCTGGAACTCGGTCGCCTCCGCGCTGGGGTGCCTGTAAACGCTGGGACAACGGAGGAGCGGCTGGTGTAAAGCATCGCCTTTGGAACTGGAAACAGAAACCAGGTAACCACCGCGTGTCTTTTTTCACCCTAGCTGCCTGGAGAGGCGCGGTTAATTTAGCCGGGCCATAGTTAAAGCTTAAGTAGACTTCAGTCTTGCTTTTCTCAACAATGGCACAGTGTGAGCGTCTCCGCCAGCTTTAAAATCGTTTTGGGATGAAATGATGCACCTTCAGTCCCTTTGCTGATCACCTTTTCCCCCACTCCCAGATCAGCTCAGTTGAGCAGTTTGGCGCTTCTAGTTTCAACTTCACAGGACCTAACCTAAACTCGGATCAATACTGTAGGCGTCAAGAGCATGGACAGGGTTTTTTTTTCCCCTCCTTGGATAAATACTGGTTTCTCCTGTTCTCTTTTAAAATTATTACAAGGATACAGGAAGTGAAAGGCCACTGGAGGGGAGAGTAACCAGGCTACAAGATAACAAAAAAAAAACCTGTCATATGTGTATATTATGGCTTGTTTGGTTTTGATCTGGGGTATTTTGCAACTTGCCATAACATGAACATGTCCCTACAATCTCTCTCTTTTTTTTTCTTAATGATGGTATATCTCATCCCAAATTCCCACCAAAAGCAGCTTGAAGACAGCTGCATCTAATCAGGTTGGCTTCACCCACTATTATGTCCCGGGAAAGTTTGATGGTTATTAATGAGTGAAATCAGCCTAGCATCTGCTAGCCAGGTTAATGCAAGCAAGCCCCCCTTTCCCACCCCAAGCTGGCCTCTGCTTTGGGCAATGGGAGAGAAATTGGTTCTTTCAAATCACATTCTTCCCTGTATCTTCCCACTCTCCAAGCCTTTCCAGCTCAGAGTCCTAAAGCAGCTGTCCAGCAGTAATAGCAGAGTGCATGCTTAAGTGGGAGGGTAGAAGCAGTGGTGGGATTCAAATATGTGAACAACCAGTTCTCTGTGTGGATGCCGCTTCCAGATGTCCATTCTGGGCCTGGGCAATAAAAAATTAGCTACCGGTTCTTCTGAACTGGTGTGAACTGGCTGAATCCCACCACTGGGTAGAAGAGTGTTCTCTGTTGCTCCACCAGTTAATTTCCCCTGTGCCTCTCTGTTCAGGCTGCTTTTGAACCCAGATTTCATATTACCACCACCACCCAAAAAAGCCCCTACAATATTTCCTCTGAATGCACAGGTACAAAATACCTGTGCAAAACAAATGGCTAAACTCATCATCTAGCCATCTCTCAAAACTTGACCCTGCCCCATCCCTAATTAAAGAGAGTGATTACTGGATGTTTTCATGCTGGTTGGTGATGTTAGTGGGAGGGAAAGAAAACAGTGAAATTTACCAATTGACCTGAACATATAAGGACTGCACCATTTGCCAGTATTGTGCCTATGTCAGGAAGAGGGATTGCTAGTGTGTTGGTAAAAACTTCTGCTGATTCAAGAAATGGTGGACATTCTTCAGCTGGGCCATGAAGACTGATCAATGGTATGATTCTTTAAGATTCAATACTTCCGAGATCAAAAAGTATTATCTCCTGGGTGGCCCTTTGGTGTAGCTTTAAACTATTCAAAAGGTCCGTGATGTTTGACACAATAGGAATCTTAAATATCTTCTGGAATAACTTCTGGAGACGCTTTCAGAAGTTGTGGATGCTCCAACACTGAAGGTTTTTAAGAAGAGATTGGACAACCATTTGTCTGAAATGGCACAGGGTTTCCTGCTTGGGCAGGGGGTTGGACTAAGAAGACCTCCAAGGTCTTCTAGTTATTCTGTTACTCTGTTATTAGTTGCTTTGCACTTCACGTTGATGTTTCAGCAGACCCTGATACTGCACTGTACTGCTTCTCATTTTTCCAAACTATCTGACATTGTACATTTTGCCCACAAGTACCATTGGCACTGCTCCCAAGGAAGGATCAGCTTCTGAGAAGTGATTGCATCTCTCATCCTGCCTATGAAAGTTTCTGTTGCCTCTGGGAAGAAAAGAGCAAAGCAAAGCCCTTTTAGATGGGTGTTGCAAATTGAGGGCCTGTTTTCTTGTCCCTATACAACACTGCTGCGCATTGCATGTTCCCAAGTTGTATGCTGATTGGCATGATAGAAGTCACACTTGTTAATCAGATGATCCCTGTAAGCAGCTGTCCTGTTAATAGCCTTTAGCTTTCCAGAGTGGTCAGCCTTACTAGGCAGACAAGGCAGGAAATATGGCCAGATAATTTAATTCTACATTATTGTAAAGCTTCGTTAACAAAATTTTGCAAGTCTGAACATACAGTTCTCCCACTGTCACCTTTACAGCCCAAGAACCTAGGAAGGGTCTTTCTTGATCCTGGTGGTTCACCCACTATGCAGCTGTGGGTTGTGCTGCCTCTTATTTGACCATTCCTTAGGCAGCATCTCTTTATCCCGTCTCCCAAGGTCATTTCCACATACCTTTACAGGAAATACTTTTTAGCCTCAAAAATGTGAGTAGTCCTGGGGTCAGATGAAGACAATCTTGCACCTGAACTAAAATGATTTATACAAACCCATTTTGAATCTAATCCTTGATTAAGAATAATTCTGGCCTTCTGGGGAAGAATGGTGGACTGAAGACAACTCTGCTAAAAGTGGAACTGAAGACCACCACAGAACGAAGAGGCTCTATTTTAATCTGTAGAGTGCAGTCCTTTTATAACAATGTTTGGGCTCTTCTGAAGGGGGGGGGGAATGCTGGGTGCAGAGAATGCAGAAATCCCTAATCAATCATCTTTAGTGAACTTTTGAAGTAGGACATACTATTTACCTTTATTTTTTCTTTCTTATATTTGTTCTTTGGACAGTGATGAAATGAAATTAAAAGTTTAAGCCTGCATGAATCATGTCTAGGTAAGGTACACATATACAGAAAGATAATGTTGTGTTGTTAGGTTCCACCCCAGAGATAGGGTATAAGGTGTTTTGTAGGAGGGTCTGCTTAGTTACTGGAGTTTGCTGTATCCAATCTTGGATGACCTTCTCCTTTTTTTTTTTTTTTTTTTGTTGCTCCCCATCCCTTGCTCCAAGAAAATTAAGTAAAGTTTCACCGAAAGTGAAGGGATATATTCCCTCTTCTGTGTACTTTATACATGAAGGCAAATATATGCGTTCCAAGATAAGGTTGCAAGAGCCAACCTGGGACAGTCACCGGGACCAGAGGTTTACTCTTCCGAGCCTTTGGACCCGTGCTGGAGCCCATTCTCAGGAAACTTCCCTCTACTTCTGTCAGAGAGAAATTCCCCGAGGATGGGCTCCAGCACGAGTCCAAAAGCTCAGCAGAATAAACCTCTTTCTGATTTCAGAATTAGCAGCTAGAACCAAAGTAGCTACTAACTACACTGTTCCCACAGCATTATTCAAGAATCAAGCTAAGCAAGACCATTGCATTTAGTACCTTGCAGATAATTTAATTTATCCAATTTAGATACTGCCTGATTCTAAACTGATTCTGGGTAATATACACTAAAAGCCAAACAGAAGGGAAAATTCAACACAAAAATTATTTTTTTAGAAAAGAAATAAGGAATAAAGAACAAAATCTGGCTAAGAATATCCACACCCTCAAACAGATCCATCAGGGCCCTCAACTACCCTAATCCAAGGCCTGGGACAATTCCCAGGTCTTTAAGGCTTTCTGGAATGCCATCAAGGTGGGAGCCACACAGATTTCATGGAGAACCTCATTCCAGAGACCATTATTGTGACAGAGAAGGCACATTTCTTTGGCACTTTACCCAGACCTGCCCAATCAGAGTCCAAGTTGCAGCTGATCTGAATGGTTTTATCTACCAGATAACATGAATTTTGCTCGCAGCAGCCTTGTAGATTATCCTGGGGTTCCTCCCTACCAGCTGAGACCAGGTCACCAAATATAGCTGCTTGGTAGCTATTGGCAGTTATGATGCAGCTGGAGAAATATTGCCATCCTTATTGCCATGAGATAATCCCTGACATGGGCTCTCACCCACATTTAGTCAGACTTGCTTTGAATTGTCCTCTAGTCTAGCGGCACTCCACGTCTCTCTTCTGGTGTTTCTTGGAGCTCCTTCTAACCCAATGTGCACATGGAAATGGGATGTAGGAGCAATATCTTACAAGGGCTGACCCATTTGCCCATTCCAGACAGAGGCTAAAGCCTAAACCAAACCACCCACCAACTCCTTAAGAAAAACTCCAAATTCTTTCTGAAGCCTCATTCGGTCCATCAATTGACTGGGGTGGGCCAATCAAATGAGCCCTATTAATACTGTATGCAGGGAGGGGTGAATAAGAGAGTGATTTCTCCATGGAACCAGACTGATGTTAATGATGTTAATTGTTTGTATTAAATTTTCCTTTTTCATTTTGTCCATGCTCTAAGAAAGAGAGAATCTTTGCTTTCTACTTAGAGGAAAATTACTGAATAGTCCAGCCTGCCTTGACATTTGACAGATGAATTGAACTACTTCTTCCACTATCCCAGTAGGCTTAGAATAGTCTTTGTTGATGTAACCTTCTTTTTTTTTGTTTACCTATAGTTTCTCAACACTGTCACTCAGTGTCACCAGGTAAAGGATGAATTCAGTTCCTTACTGATTGCAATAACAATCCACATTTCCCCTCCTTTTGCTCCAAAACCACAAAGGTCAAGGGGGGAACAGCAAGTCATACTTCTGTTAGCATTTAGACAAATGTTTCAAGTCAGCCAGGGGCGGACAATAATTGGTTGATCCACTGGTGCATCAAGATCTGCTTTGTAATTCAGCATAGTTGGGTCTTTCTCCCTTAAGCACCAGAATCAGAATTCTACAAAGAGGTATCCTGTATTACCTGTATTTTTAGGGTACCAGAATCATATTACAGTATATAAGACAAGAGGAACTGTGCACATTATAATATTATAATATACAGGTAGTTCTCAACTTACAACAGTTTGCTTAGTGACCATTTAAAGTTACAACAACACTGAACAAAGTGACTTACTATCTTTTTTCACATTTATGACCGTTGCGGTATCCCGGGGTCATGTGATCCCCTTTTGCAACTTCAGACAAGCAAAGTCAAAGTCACTTAACAACCATGTTACTAATTTAACAACTGTAGTGACTCACTAAACAAATTTGGCAAGAAAAGTCATAAAATGGGGCAAAACTCACTGAATAAATTTCTCACTTAGCAACATACAATTTGGGCTCAGTTGTGGTCATAAGTTGAGAACTATCTGTATTTAATATTAATTACATTCACACACACACATACACGCACACACACACACTCAACACAGAGTTGTCCTAGAATGTATGGCTGTAAACACTTTCCCACAGATCTCCTTTTATATTGATCTGCTACCAAGATCGGTATAAAAGTCACCCCACTGATGTTCCGTGCTGCTTTTCCCCATTTGCTTCACTACCTCCCTATTACTGGCTGCAATTCCATTAGAGAATAAAAGCACTTAGACTTTGGGGGACTGCTCTCTCTTGAGTATCAAACAAACCTTTTTTTCCCCTTATTTTGTGACAAAAAGCTTTTTGCTTCCATGCACTGTTCCCCAGAGATTCTGTAAACAGCAATAAAAGACTCCTTGTGTCTAGACATCATGGCAACAGATCCATATATATAAGGTTGCTATCAAAATTATATGAATTTTCTCTTTGCCTATATTGTCACTCCAAATTTTTTTTCTCTGGCTTTTTTCCTGTCTAAAAATGAAAGTGATGATGAAGATTTTAGATTTGTACCCCACTTTTTCTCCCAGAATTCAAGGTAGATTCCATACTCGGTCTATTCTATCTGTAGCAGTGTTTCTCAACCTTGACAATTTTAAGGCATGTGGACTTCAACTCCCAGAATTCCACATGCCTTAAAATTTGTCAAGGTTGAGAAACACTGATGTAGAATCTTAAACCTATGAGGTAGGCCTCACTGACAAAGAATGGCACAGATTTGCTATGACTGAGAGTCTTCTGAGTTCCAGTCCCACATTTTAACCATTGGGCACATGGGTAGGAAAACACTGTTATCTCACTTGCTTATTCTGCATTTTATCCCCCCCCCCCACCGCTTTTATGAAGATTTGGCTCAGTTCAAATTGAATTTCACCACTGTAAGATGTAGTTTGCTTCTAAAGGAGAAGATAAAACTGTTTGCCCAACCGTTTTTCTTCTCTGTCTTTCTAGCGTTCAAGGTGTTGAGAAGCATGAATAAAATAATGTGCAGATGTAAAAGAATGAGATAATAAGTCTTGTTTGGTATCACTGTATCTGAATTCTCTGCAGGAGGTAGAGATTTCCATCTTTGTAAATTATTCTTCAAGAAAGGGGTGTTCCTGTTCATTACAGAATCATATTTATAATCAGAACCGGCCAAAGAAATTTTGCTGCCTGAGGCAAAAATCAGCATTCCAATTTATCTGGAGTAGTGAATTCAACTGGACTGAGAGTTGAATGTTACTCTAAGGCACCTCAAGGGAAGAGGCTACTTTAGCAGTGCAGGAAACCTAGAGAGCAGAAACAGCTCAGTCCAAGAAAAGAGAATCATTGGGGGCTGGAGAGAGAGCTGTAACATCTCTGCCTTTTTTGCCACCTATCTAAGAAATATTGGGAAAGTTTGGTCTTGGAGCTGAGAACAGGATTTAAATATGAAAGCAGTTAGGGAACTCCCTTTTGTGTGAGAAAGGTATGCAGAAACTGATAAACTTTTTGCCAGGCTGATTATCCAGTGAATTAAACTGGTCAACTTAATTGAAGTTTTTGAGTTTTAAACTGCTCAAGTGAAGTAATAGCTGAAGTTGCTTTGTGTCTGTTTTTGTGTTATTTTACAACTAATACCAAGTCTGAAAATCACACAGAATGGACTTGGGGGAGAAATAGTGAAAACAAGTTGTTTTTACCTCTTTGATGCAAAAGTCAACAGCGAAAGATGGTGTAAATATTTGGGGTTGTCTGTCTAGAATCTATTACCCATCTGCTTATGTATTGGGGTGGGTTAAAGTTCTCCAGTATATATCAAGGAACTTAAGCAATTTACACCAACTTCAAACACACATCACTCAAGCCAGGCTGGAAAGCAAGAATAACAAGCTGATCCTTGGAGTTCTCCTCAGACTGTTTACTACAGCAACAGTGGAGAAGGCATTCATGGTCTGCTCTGCACCTCCTGTTGGCCTTGTCTTGTATTTAACATTATAGTATGTGGCCTCTAAGGCCATGAATTTACCAGACCTTGATTCAACTTAATCCTCAGATTTCTGATGTGTATTTATATTATAAATTCTAAATGCTAACATGACGATAATACTTTATTTTCCCTCCTACTGTAGGTCTGCTTTTTATGCTCCACATTGCCCTTTATTGATGGAGCTTCCTACTGTGCCTACGCTATTGGACAAGCTTAATTCTTGGTGTGTTGGACTTCTACTCAGCTTCACCAGAGATTATTCCAGCAAATTCTTACACTGTCACCTCTTTGGGTACTGTTCACACAGGTGCAGCTTTGGATAGCATGAAGAGTTGTTTGACCAATGGAGTCTGTGATCTTAGGCTTTTGAATGATTTCTAATGCTGAATTTTCGGGAAGGATTTAATTACCAAGGCTTTTTCTTTGTACCATATTCATTTTCCATAACAAGATCTGGTATTATTTTTTGCCCCAAAGGACTTGTGGTTGAACTGCAGCTGTGAAACTATGCAAACAAACTGGCCTCAAAGTTCTCTCTCAAGAAATTGGGATTTGGCTAGTTGGTGCAAATGTACTTACTTACAAGAAAAATGAAGACTGGGTAGAGTTTTTTTAAAAAATAATAATAAAATAACTATTTTTTAAAAAAGAAAGTATATTGTGATTATATGGAAGGGCGTATTTGGGTTACAGTGGAGTAGAGATCAACCCTGACTGATCTTTAGAAGGCCAGATCCTGAAGTTGAAACTCAAGTATTTGGGCCACCTAATGAGAAAGAAGGACTCACTGGAGAAGAGCCTAATGCTGGGAAAGATTGAGGGCAATAGAAGAAGGGGACGACAGAGAATGAGGTGGCTGGATAGAGTCGCTGAAGCAGTGGACATGAGCTTGGGTGGACTCCAGAAGATACCGTATATGCCGGCGTATAAGGTGACTTCCGCAAGCGCTAAAATCGGCGCCAAAGACGGGGGTCGTCTTATACGCTGAGTTGTCTTATACGTCGGAAATACTGGTAGTTTCCGGCGTATAAGACGACATTCTAGGAATGCGGCCCGGTGATAAAGATGGGGGTCGTCTTATACGCCGGGTCGCCTTGTACGCCAGCATATACGGTAGTGGAAGACAGGAAGGCCTGGAGGAACATTGTCCATGGAGTCGCGATGGGACGGACAGGACTTCACAACTAACAACAAAGTCTTTTGTGCCAATGTTAAACTACAAATCACAGCAGGTTGTCTTAATATTAATAATTTCTAATCTGAACAATGATTGGAATTATCTAGCTGTTTAAACAATTATTTAAAACAATAGGAAAGAGAAGTAATAAAATATATTAATAAATTTTATTTTATTTACTATCCTCTTTATTAGTGCTACTATTCCAAATGTAACCTGGGAACTATAGCAATACTTTTAAAACAAATCTATAAAATGCTCAGGAAAAGATGCTCAGTCTTTCTAGGCCTGACCCTGGGAGAACCTCACAGGCAGTCAACTCAAGTAGCTGTTATCCTCATTTTCTCAACAACAACAAAAAATCCCATCTCAGTACTGGTTTTTCCCACCTTCAAAAATAACCTGCTACAAAACTTATTTTGATCAGAAAAGACAATGAGGAAATCAAAGATTAAATACCCTTTCTTCACTTCAACAATTTAAAATCTTATTAAGTTATGCCTCATTCTTCTTCAGCTTGACCTTTAAAATCACATCCTGAGCATTTGAATAAATAGATAATGCAGTTGCTTTTCCAATATGCTTTTTTCATCATTTGCCTGAAAAATGCAAGATTCCTCTACTACACCATGTTTCTTTCTTGCCAGAAGAAAACCAAAAACAATGTATGAACCATTTGCTCTAAAGATTAGGCATATAAGCAAATAATGAGCAAAACTCCAGTAAGATCTTTAGCAATAACAAAATATTGGCAGTAGAACAGGTTAAATGGTTACTTAGGTCATGCTGCTTGTAGTTCATATGCTCTGGAATAGAGGGAAACGATACTCTCTGAAACTGGCTACTGCCATTGAAAAAAAAAAAACCCGGGAACTGGAAAGAATTTAACCAACGTTTCAAGCCTCATTGACCTTTTAATAGAGTTTGTACTTAAATCTTGCCCACTGAAATCAGTTGGGCATAAAATATTTTCCCATTTTACTGAAGGTTGTTTGTCGCATGCAAATATATTTAGTTAACATGTAAGAATTGCAAGAGTGTAAGGAATGCCCATGCACAGATTGCAAATAATTATTTTCTTCCTTTTGTGTAATTTGAAGCTGACATGCCACATTACAAAACAAGAAACAAATGTCATGGCTTTTACCCTGCTTAAGTAATGGCATGTGTTTTAAGGATGGTCTTTCGATAAGCAGTTTCAAACTTTTCCCCTCCTTATGAGGGAGGCCTTGCAAATATGATTGAAAGCTTGAGGGGCATCCAATTTCTTTGCTTTCATGCTCCATTAGCTCATTCTCTCTTATTGGAAACTCACATTTTAATGGACATTGTTCTGCTCTAAAAGAATTTCAAGAGAGGAAACTGCCTCAGGTCGTGTACCTAATATATAAAAGGTAAAAAATTGTGTAAATCACTATTTGCTCAGCTGAAATATTTTTTACTTGCATTCTTGATTTACAAGAGGAAAAGGAAGGCCAAAGTGCTGTCTTATTTTTGTATGAGGAAAAAAAAAGTGGTTTTACCCGGATAACCTCACTACTTTCGGTACCTGACAAAAAAAACAGAACACCCTGGCCCAGGTGGTTGCAACCAATTGCCTTAGTTCAGGAGTGTCAAACTGGCGGCCCCTGGCTGGATGCATCACGCACAGGCCACGCCCACCCCAGCTCCGCAAAGGCAAAAAACATCACGATACATCACAATACATTACCTGATGTGATCGAGTTTGACACCTGTGCTTTAGTTGCTTTAGACCAGGGTTCCCTAAACTCTTCAGCTCATTGATCCCTTTGTGACATTTCAGATTGTTCATCAACCTCCCATTTATTGTAGTTTGTGAAATTAATGTAAATGTTTAAATAAAATTAAATAAACTTTAAATAACAATGTAAGTAAATGCTACAAATAATAAAAGTGACTCTTTGGATAGTCCCATTCACCCTTGGGGTGGATATTGACTATTTTAGAGAATCCTGCTTTAGACAGATCCTTGGCTTCCTTTCTTAAACAGTTGAGCCTTGGAAAGAGGCTCAAATAACCTTTCACTTCAATTGTCTATGACCCCACAAATATGGGACTCTTGGGGGAGGAGTGGGCCCAGGAATATTGTCGCACTTCAGGTCAACATCCTGAGACACAATCTCACACTTCAGGTCCACCATATGAGACACAGCCTCACTGTTCCTGGAACATACCGCAGGGCGCTAGGAATTTTCCAGGGGAGGTACAAGGACATCCTCAGAGTTCAGCTATTGTGCCGAGCAGAGAGTCATGCGTATCTGCAAGAACTCCAAACAGGAATTCATCCGAGAAGGGGGTTGCTAATGAGGAAACTCCTGATGCTAGCACCTCGGCCACTGGGGACTGGGAGTATTGGGGCACATCTGCAACACAGGTCATGTCCGAGACTGGTCGCGGGCTCAAGGGACTAAGTTCCCAGGAGCCATCCAGAGTAGATGGGGAATCCCCAGCCAATTCAGAGGCTTGGGAAAATGCAGCTGCTCTCACGGAGCCTGGGGAGAGCTCTGGCAATTCTGCCAGTACGCCCTATCAGGGGTCACCTGCAAAACGTGTGCATAAAAATGTCCTGGTCTAGTGAGCCAAACAGATGGGCCAGTAGGGCAGGTGCCATTAAGGTCAAGTCCTGGTCTGTCCAGCCGGGCAGGGGAGCTGTCAGGCCAAGCACCCTCCCTAAACTTGCGTAGGCCACAACGGGCTAAGGCCCCTCCTAAACACCTAGGCAAGCATGTGCGGTTCTTTTCGGCATAAGGACAGTACAAGTCTATGGTGAGGAAATGGAACCTATGTGGGGTAGCAGATGAACACACAAAGTACACATTAGAGAGTAGCTAAACAATTTTGTTAGTAGAGTGGAGTGTCTGTAGGAGGGAAGAATATTTTTATATATATTATTTAATTTATATATATATATATATAAATTAAATATTATTATTTATAATATAAAATAATAATATAAATATTATTATTAAACAATTTAATAACAGAATAATCAGAGAAGCCATCGAGATAGAAAAACGCCCACACAGCATGAACAAGCGAGATGATACCTCCTGCCTACCAGCCATTTGGAAACCCGCCCTTATTGACAAACGACTCCCTAACACAAAAAATGATACCATACCCAAACTCACAAAAACCACACAGGATGTCACCACCACACATCCACGCAAAAAACAAACCCAAAGCCACACCGATGACGAGGCACGACCACAAACCAGAAGCCAGACAACAGCTGCATCATTAGCCACTTTAAACCCCTCCAATCCATACATGAAGCAAACTGACACCCTCCGTGAAGAGGAGACACGACCACGAACGCGAAGCCAGAAAATAGCAAGGCAGCCCAAAATCTTAAACCCCTCTGCAACTCAGACTAACCTGAGCACAACCAAACAGAACACTCTCCCAGCCAATCAGAGCAAAGCCAAGCCCCTAACCATTCAGAACACACCTCCACCCAATCAGAACACAGCCAAGCTCCCATCCAATCAGTTCATACCCCCACTGGCAGTTAAAAGGAAGAAACAGCTAAGACCACACATTGCTGCTCAAAGCAAGAAGCTGAAAACACCAGCCTGAAGATGACGAATGGGACTTCGTCGAAACGTCGCCAAGACTTTCGCCGTCACCTGCCGGCATCATCAGGGCTGGACCGCTAGGGTGTGGGAGAGTCATTTTATAGGCAGGCCGGAGTCTGCACTCGGCTCCTCGATCTCATCACCGGACCCAATTGGTTAAATTGTGCTCCGGTGGTTCGTTTCTTTCTGTCCTTCCTAGCTGCGTGTGTATCTTCATCTACCTTCTTTTCTTTTCGGGAAGAGTAGTATGCAATTTGTCCTCTAAAATCTTAACCCAGTCATAACTTGCTCTATTACAACGGGATGTGGGTTACAATCTCACAGATGCGGGCGCCCTTGACTTTGTAGCAGCATTATAACCCACTTTACATTATATTGGAGCAGGGGAGGAGGCCAAGAATCATATCAGGCAACAAGTCACGGGCCTCATTATGAATCACAGACGCTACCAAACATTATCTGGGAGTGAAAGAGAGGCCCTGATACAACTTAAGAAAGATGACACTATTGTCATACTCCCAGCTGATAAGGGGAGGGCAACTGTTGTCATGGACAAAGTGGTGTATATTAGCAAGGCGCTGGAATTGCTCAATGACAGTGCTGCATATAAAACAGTGAGTAAAGACCCCTCCACCACTTTGAGGAATCGTATTAATAAGCTTCTTGATGACTTAAAACGCAATAGGAGGATGGGGGAAGATGTGTTGAGAAGGGTATGCCCTGGCGATTCAGCTCTTGCCAGATTTTATGGCTTACCCAAGATACACAAACCCAACGTCCCCCTCCGTCCTGTTGTTGCATTTAGGGGCACGCCCACCTCTGAATTGGCCAAGTGGCTGAGCGTACGCATCAGCCACTTGCCCAATAATAGTAACAC